CTTTTTGTTGTAGAGGTGTCACATTTTCCTTTAGATTTTAGAGATTAGACCTTTGTCGGATTTGTCATAGCCAAAATTTTTTTCCCAGTCTGTAGATTCTCTTGTTATTTGTTTGATAAAGTCTTTTTATGAGCATAAGTGTTTAATATTTAGAAGATCCCAGTTATCTAGCTCATCTTCTGGTGTTTGTGTTTTGTTAGTTATGGTTTGTATCCTATTTATATCATGTATTAGGGCCTCTAGTGATGACCCTATTTTTTCTTCTATGATCTTTGTAGTTTTTGGTTTTGTATTTAGGTCTTTGATCCATTTTGAATTAGTTTTTGTGTATGGTGTGAGGTATGGGCCCTGTTTCGTTTTTTTACAGATGAACATCCAGTTTTGTCAGCACCATTTGTTAAAAAGACTGTTGTTTCCCCCCTTTCCTGGACTTTGGGCCTTTGTTGAAGATCAGGTGACCTTAGGTGGATGGATTTACATCTGGGTTCTCAGTTCTGTTCCATTGGTCAATGTGTCTGTCATTGTACCAGTACCAGACCGTTTCGACTACTGTAGCTGTGTATAGTAGGTTCTGACGTCAGGTAGTGCGAATCTTCCTAATTTATTCTTCTTCAGTAGTGCTTTACTTATCCAGGGCCTCTTTCCTTTCTACATAAAGTTAATGATTAGTTTTTCCATCTTGTGAAAGAATGCTGTTTTGGTATTTGGATCAGGAGTGCCTTGTGTTTGTAGATTGCTTTGGGTAGAATTGACATTTTCACAATGTTCAATGTACCTATCCATGAGAATATGTTTTTCCATTTATGTAGGTCTCTTTTGGTTTCTTACAGTAGTGTTTTGTAGTTTTCTTTGTATAGGTCTTTTTACGTCCCTGGTTAGATTTATTCTTAAGTATTTTATTTTTTTAGGGGCTATTATAAACGACATTGCTTTTCTGATTTCCTCTTCATAGTTCTCTGCAAATAGGGATCATTTGACTTCTTCCTTACATTTGTGTACAGCTGTTTACTCCGTGAGATGAATGCTTAGGAGAACAGTTGCTGTGTCATGTGGCAGTTGCATGTTCTGTGTTTTCAGAAACTGCCAGACTGTTTTCTAGGTCAGCTGTACCATTTTACATTCCTACCAGAAATTTTTGAGGGATCCAGGTTTTGCATATCCATGCCAGTATTTGGTGTTGTCAGTGCTTTTTATTTCACTTGTTCTGATGAGTGTGTTGTTATATCTCATTATCGTATTAATTTGCACAGTGGTTAAGCACGTAGCTGCTAACCGAAAGGTCAGTGGTTTGAACCTTCCAGCTGCTGTGTGGCAGAAAGATGTGGCAGTCTGCTTCTTTAAAGATTACAGCCTTGGAAACCCTATGGGATAGTTCTACTCTGTCCTATAGGGTCGCTATGAGTTGGAATCAACTCTGTGTCAGTGTGGGTAATAGATAATGGTGTTGAAGTTCTTTTCACATACTTAAGATCTTCAACACCATTATCTATTTTCCATCTGTGATTTTTTTTTTTTTCAGTGAAGAGTCTGTTCATCTCTTTTGCCAATTTTCTTATTGGATTATTTTTTTGGCATTGAGTTGCAAGGTTTTTCTATATTCTAGATATGAATCATATATATATATATGTATACATATATACGTATATTCTAGATATGTGGTTTATAAATATTTTCTCTCAGTCTGTAGCTTGTCTTTTCATCTTTTAATAGAGTCTTTTGCAGAGGAAATGTTTTAATTATGATGAAATCCAATTAAATCAGTTTTTCCTTTTATGAGTTTTGTTTTTGGTGTCAAGCCTAAGAACTCTTTGCCTAGCTGTAGATCCTGAAGAATTTCTCAGGAAATGAGAAATTTTTTCTCTAAAACTTTTATTTACTGATGAAGATCAAAGACTACAGACTTAGTATGGATTACACTTCAACATAAAGAAAACAAAAATATCTCAGAACTGGACCAGTAAGCAACATCATGATAAATGGAGAAAAGATTGATGTCAAGGATTTCATTTTACTTGGATCCACAAGTAAAATGTGTCAGTTCTTCTTTGGTCTTCCTTATTCTTTTTCGAGCTTTCACATGCGTATGAGATGATTAAAATACCATGGCTTGGGAAAGGAGCATCTTAGTCTTCAAAGTGACATCTTAGCTTTTTAACACTTTAAAGAGGTCTTTTATAGCAGATTTGCTGGATGCAAGAGGTCGTTTGATTTCTTGACTGCTGCTTCTATGAGTGTTAATTGTGGATCTAAGTAAATTGAAATCCTTGACAACTTTGATATTTTTTTCTGTTTATCATAATATTGCTTATTGGTCCAGTTATGAGGATTTTTGTTTTCTTTACGTTGAGGTGCAATCCATACTGAAGGCTGTAATCTTTGATCTTCATTAGTAAGTGCTTCAAGTCCTCTTCACATTCTTCAAGGAAATACCTGCTTTATTTAAAAAAAAGATATTCCCTCTTCTTGTATTTTTTGGAGAAGATTCTGCAGAATTGGTATTAATTACTGTATTTTGCACAAATAACGTGTGTGTTCTGCTTTTGTTTACCAGCCCTCCCCCCCCACCCCGAGGTATTTTTGTAAGTGCACTATGCTAATTGTTTTACAGCAACATGTGGAAGAGGACTGGCATGGGGATGCTTATGAGGGTGCCTCACAGAAGGGGGAGGAAGATGTGGCTGGCAGACAGACAGAGGGCGTGCACTATTTGTGTAAAATTACAGTATTTTTTAAGTGTTTCGTAGGATTCTCTGATGAAACCATCTGTGTTTATATTATTTTGGGGCAGGTTTTTTTTGTTTGTTTTTGGGGGACAGGTTTTTAATTACAAATTCATTTTCTTTAATATTTATGGAGCTTCTCAAATTATTTCATATTAATGAGTTGTGGTGGTCTGTATTCTCTGAGGAATTGGTCCATTTCATCCAAGTTGCCAAATTTACGTATGTATAGTTTTTCATAATATTTCTTTATTATCCTTTAGATGTCTGCAGGTTCTGTAATGGTATCCCGTTTCATTCCTGATATGGGCAGTTTATGTCTGTTCTCGTTTTTTCTTTTCAGTCTTGCAAGAGCTTTGTCAATTGATACTTTCAAAGAATCAGCTCTTTACTTCTTTGCCTTTTCTCTATTGTTTTTCTGTTCTCAATTTTATTGACATTTGCCCTTATTATTTTCTTACTTCTTGCTTTGGGTTTTGTTTGCAGTTCTTTTCTGGGTTCTTGAGGTGGGAAGTGAGATTATTGATTTGAGACTTTACCTCTTTTCTGACATATACGTTCAGTGCTGTTAATTTCTCTCTCAGCACTGCTTTAAGTGTCTCACAGATTTTGACGCATTGCATTTTAATTTTTTTCAGTTTAATGCATTTTTAAATTTACCTTATGAATTCTTGTTTGACCCATGAATTATATAGAAGTAGATTTCTCCAAGAGTTTGGAGATTTTACTCTTATCTATTATTAATTTCCAGTTCAAATTAGTAAACAGCTTCTCAGGAATAGATTTTTTTTTTCACCAAATCCACCCTCCTCTCTTTTCTCCCCCCTCAGTCTGTGCTATGATCTAAGATAATCTTTCCTGCATGTGCTTGGTATTGAGATAGGAGATAGGAATGGACTTGCTTAGTTCCGGATCATCCTTAGAATGAGAGTATTAGTCCTTTCAATCCCCAGCTTATTATGAGGAATGTCTTCTATAAAACTCCCTAGCTTAAATGGGACCTGGGTCTTGACTTATGCCTCCCCTTGACATCATTTAACACCGCAAAGTTGACTTTAGTCCTCAGTTTACTCCCAGGTGTAGCTTGGCATTTCTTGTAAAGTTTTCAGTGTTTTTAAGGTGGTGTTTTTCATATTTTATCCATAATTTTGGGGGTTTTTTTCCTCAGTGGAACAATTACTCTGAATAACTTAGCCTGTCATTATTAGAAAACTTCGATAACGTCTTTAGTGTTATATTCCAGTTTGTGATTTCTGTTAGCAGCTAGATGTAACTGGTTGTTAAAATCTGAATATCAAAGTTTTAAATTTCAATTATATGTATATTTTATTTTTATAAGTTCTTTTGGTTCTTAAAGTTGGCTTGGTCCTTTTATTGTCTTTTTCTCCTTGGTCATATTTTCAATGTCTTCCTTTTATTTCTTATTTTAACTTATTTTCTATTCTGTATCTGATTATTCCAGTAACCGAGGTCTTTGTAGGTCAGATTCTGCTTTCTGATATTTGGCTGAATTTTATTCTTTTGTTCTTGGTGGTTTATTTCTCATGTGTTTTGCAACTTTTTCTTTAAAGCTATGAGCTCATGTTAATTGAAACCTTGAAATTCTTTAAAGTCTGGGTAAGTTGAGGTCTCTTTTTCCAGGGAGTATGAGTATTTGTGTTTGGAGGCTTTTTGAAGAACTACCACACCAAGATCACTTTTGGCTTTGTTTTTCTTTTTTAGGCCACACAGGTAATATGAATTCTCCTCTAAACTGTCTGAATGACCTTCTTGACCATGAATTTTCTAAGAAGACTTTCTCCCTTACATTTAGAGCCAAAACTGAGACTTGCAAGTTTACAGTTTGGGGTAGGGGGAGGTATGAAAGCTTTTTCCAGTTCTCCTTTTCACTAGGCATATCGCTCTTTGGGGTTCCTTCCTTTTAGTATGGATAATCTCCAATATGTTTTCCCATGCTGCACTGTCGCCAGGCTTCATCTTCTGTCCCCTATGCAGAGTCCTTCAAAGGCAAAGGAAGAGGTGACATGAATTAGCAGAAACCTCTGGGTAGCTTCTTCCTCAGGGCTTACTTGTCTTTCTGGATTTTACCTTTTAAAAAATTCTTTAGCCTTAGGTTATTTGTCTTATTCATCTACCACCTCAGTGTATATAGGAAAAAGAAAAAAAATTAACCCTTTATCCAACATTCTTAAGGATTTTGTCCTGGGAAGGCTCTTCAGGGTATCTAGTCTACCCTGTTGCTCTAATTCTTAAATGTTATTTTTAATGTTTCTTTTATAGGATTCAGTTTAGCTGCATTTAAAAGAAACAAGAGGAAACTAGAGCTGGCAGAAAGGGTGGAAACAGATTTCATTCAACTAAAGAAAAGAAGACAATCAAGTGAAAAGGTCAGGAAGTATTTGAAATATTAATAATTAATACATCATAATGGTATCTTTAATCTGTATTTAGATACATAAGCTTCTAGACCATTGTTACCCAGTAGAAATGTAATGCTTGCCACATATATACTTCTAAGCTTTCCGGCAGCTACTTTGAAAATAAATAAAAAGAAACAGATGAAATTAATTTTAATGTATTTTACTTAACCCACTGAATCCAAAATATTATTTCCACATGTAATCTATGAAAAAAATTAGTATTGAGCTATTTAACATTCTTTTTTTGTATTGTCTTTAAAAGCAGTATGCATTTTACACTTAGAGCAAGTATTTCATCTGTATTTAGATTCTTAAAATTAATAGTTGAAAACATAGATTTACATACTCAAATTATTCCAAACATACTTAAAATTTTCCGTTAATCGAACTATCTGTTTTATAATTAAAATTAAAAAAATTTAATGAAATTAAAAATTCAGCTTTTCACTTGCATTAGCTATGACGTTTTAAGTGCTCAATAGCTAGATGTGACTCATGACTGCTGTTTTAACTGTGCAGCTCTAGATGCTGATTTTTCATGTGACTACTCAGGGGTTATGGTATGTATGTAAGGAAATGTATATATTGGATTTATATTACATGTGTCTGTTCCCTGTTCTGACATTCTTTTTTTGCTTTCACACGTTAGTTTGCCATCATGAGTTCACGTGTAGCATTCCTTAGGTGTTTAGGGATGTAGAAAGAAGTTGAAAACCCCAGCATTCATGCTCAGCCTTATTATAACTTGGCACACAATTCATGATGAACATCTCAGATCATATGGGCATTTGATATACCTTGGTACCTCATTAATATTCTTTGATGATTAGTCCTTGTACCGTTGCTTATATAAAGTTTTATGCTTTCTGTCATAATTTTATATGGTTTACCCTTATGTAAATGCATAATAAATCATCTTTGATACTATTAGATATGTTCTCAGTCTCTTGCCACGTGAGACAGTTGATCAGTTTGATCCATGCTTTTTTATTTTTCTGCCACAGATAAGTAGCATTTTAGAGCCAAATGAATAAATTGATAAGTAAATCTCAGTGAAGGTAGAGAGTAGTATGGCTCTGTTTCTTGGGTTTCTGCATTCTATGTGATATTTGGATGAGCAGATTTAGGGATTTTTGTTATGTTTAAACAATTGTGATAATATTTGCTTACAGTGAACCATTTAATCAGTTTTTATTAATGTATACACCTATGTAACCTATCAACCTGTGAAGATACAGAATATTTCTAGTTCCCTGTGTTCCCTTCCAGTTAATCCCTACCCTCTGTAGGCAACTACTATTCTGATTTTTATCACCATGAGTTTCATTTGCTTCTTGAATTTTATATAAATGAATTCATACAAAATGTACTCCTTTCTGTTTTGCTTCTTTCAAAAAATGTTTTTGAGACATTATATTGCTGGTTCATTCTTTTTTTATTGCTGAATAATATCCCCTGTATATTCATACTGTAATTTGTTTATCCTCCTCTTGATGGACTTTTTGTTTGTTTCCAGTCCTTTACGATTATGAATAAAGCTCCAAGAACATTCTTGTACAGGTCTTTTTTTGTGGACATCAGATTAGAATTTTTATGCATGGAAATATTAATTGATATTATGGAGAACTGTCTTCAGCTGGTCTTATTTAGTTAATTCATTTTTTCATTCAGAAAATATTTATTGAGCAACTAATCTTAGTACAGAGTGGATAGTATGAAAACAATGGTGAACAAGATCGTGAAAGTTTATAGTCTAATGAGAGCCTCTGTTTTAGTGGATAGAGCCTGAAACATATAATCCTATAATTAAGATAGTTACTGTGTTTGGTAACTGCTATGAAGGAAAAAAAAATTTAAGATGATATGATAGAGAATAACTTGGATATGAGTACTGGAAGGAAGACTCCTCTAGTTAAGATGATCACTAGAGACCCCTATGAGGGGATAACGTTTGGGGCAACACCTGAAAGATAGGTGAGTTTTATAAAGAGTCAGTGGAAGAATGCTGAAGCAGGAAGAATGAACTGCATGTGCAGAGGCCCTGATGGGGAGAGGGGGAGGAGACCTGGCATATTGGAGGAATGGAGAAGGGGAGTCAGTGTGCCTAAAGCAGAGTGAACAAGGGGAGAATGGTATGAGATGAAGCTAGAGAGAGGGGCTAGCTCCTTTAGGATCTGGTAGATCATGGCAATGGAGACCTGGTGTCACAACAGTTAAGTGTTCGGCTGCTAACCAAAAGGTCGGTGGTTTAAATCCACCCAGCAGCTCCGCAGGAAAAAGACCTGGTGATCTGCTTCCGTAAAGATTACAGCCAAGCAAACCCTCTGGAACAGTTTTGCTCTGTCACATGCTGTCGCCGTGAGTCAAAATTGACTTGACGGTATACAACAACTGATCATGGCAAGGGGCTTGGATCTATCTTCAAGAATAATGGGTAGCCACTGACAAGTTTAAAGCAGGGAAGCGATGCTGTCTCATTCACATTTTATAAAGTTCTCCCAGGCTTCCTACATGGAGAAAGGATCAAAGTGGGAGGCAAGAGTAGAAGCCAGAAGACTAGTTAGGAAGGGGCTACAGTGGAAAGATGATGGCAACTTGGACTGAGGTGAGAGGGATGGAGATGGAGATACATCCAGGGTATATTTTGAGGGTTCCTAGAAGGACAGGAATTATCGATACCTCATGTCCTGGAGAGGAAGAGAGAAGAACATTTTAGCTTGAATAGATTGAAGGTTTTAGCTTGAGCATTTAAGTATTGACATTTACAAAGATGAGGACGGCTGGAGAATATATTGCTTCATGGTGGGAAGTGGAAATCAAGAATTTTCTTATCTCCAGTTAATGGGGTTGTCTTAACCAGTGCTTTTCATTTTTACCATAAAACATACTATCTGGTGCCAGCAGCACCCAGACACTCAAAGCTAATTGGCTGCCTTTTTTGAGCCATACTCTCTGCTCCTTTCAGGTGGAGTATATGCCACTAGGTTATGATGGTCGTTTTTATCACTGTAATTACATAATTTGTTAAATTTCATGTAAACTGATGAATATTGAGTTTAAAAAGAAAGTTGGCTGTTTGAAAATTAAGTGGAAAGACTTGAAAAAGCAGAGTTGATTTATAAAAAAGATGTAGAATTGATTATGGGCAAGCCAACTGTAAAAGATTGGGGTAAATAATAAAATATCTAGAAGCATTCAGAATGCTTTGCTAGTACCTTTGTGTTGCTATTCTATTTTAAATAAAATGAAACTGAAAATCATGGAATAATTCAGTGTGCTTTAGTTATGCAGGAGAGATGATATGGAACATTTATCCGTGGACTATTGTCAAAGAAAAGGCCATGGTCCCACATGAAAAGATTTGCTAATGAATAAACATTTGTGTTATAAACAAAAATAAAGTGTTTAAGGTATGTGTCCTTTTTTTTCCCTTGGTGATTACTACTTTACCCAGAGAATTTTCAACTTTTGAAAATTTTAACCAGCCACTCATATTGGATAAGAAGGTTTCCAGTAAAAAACTTCCTACGGCAGGTGGAAAATAATAACTGTGGAGTTGGTTATGTGAGTCTGAAGCTCATGGGCAGGTCAAGCAGGAGATACTCGTTTGAAAATTATTGGCATCATATGGAATATAAATCTCTGTGACTAGAGGAGCTCACTTATGGATGAGATCTGAAAACTGAACCCTGGGACAGTTCAACACATAGAAGTTGGGAGGAGGAATTGCTAGCAAAAGAGACTGAAAAGTAGTAGTCAGCTTAGCAGAGAGGTACAACCAGGAGAGTGTCAGGAGCCAGCAGAAGAGTTTAAAAGAAGGCAATCTTCTGAGTCAAATGCTGCTGAGAAGACAGCTAAGAGACCAGGCCATTACATTTGGCTCCTGGAGACTTACCTGGGCAAGGATGGTTTCTGTGACATAGTGAAATCAAACGCCAGTGAGGGATGGGTTGATGAGGGAGAATAAAGGTGAAGTTTGAGAAGATTTGCCATGCAGTGGTGAGAGAGAGACACCATAGTCAGTTATGTTCTGTGAACTTAATGCATTATTTAACATGCAGAGCCTCAGTTGCCTTATTTTAAAATGAGAATAAACAAACAAAAAACCCGTTGCCTTCGAGTCGATTCTGACTCGTAGTGACCCTGTAGGACAGAGTAGAACTGCCCCGTGGGGTTTCCAAGGAGTAGCTGGTGGCTTTGAACTGCTGACTTTTTGGTTAGCAGCCGAGCTCTTAACCACTGAGCCACCAGGGCTCCAAAATGAGAATAGTGGTATTTTACTCTGTTAACAGGGCTGTTACAAGGAACAAAAGTGAAAATGGATGGTCAAGTGCTTTGTGGCTACCACTGACAGTCATAAACACCGTAGTCTCCGCCATGTGGCCTTCATCTTTAAAGTTTACTTAGCCTGAGAAAGAGAAAACTCCTACCCCGGCAGCTCCATGGTTAAGGTCTTGGCTGCTAACTGAAAGGTCAGTGGTTCAAACCCACTAGCTGCTCTGAGGGATAAAAGACCTGACGTAAAGATTTCAGCCTAGGAAATGCTATGGGGCAGTTCTACTCTGTCCTGTAGGGTCGCTATGAGTCAGAATTGACTGGACAGCACACAACAACGACAACAGCAACACCCAAGTTAGTTTTTCTGGACAGAATCTTGCAGTGGAGGAGGGAAGGGTGGTGAGTGAAGAAACTGAATTCAGGCATGATTCAAACAGAATATTTTAGACATGTTGAATGACAGGAAAATATCTTAATACTAAGAATAAGCTTTAATAGTGACAAAGCACTGTTCTCAATATTGACCTACAAAAATGACAGACCCAGCCCGTGCTTTTAGGGGATGATGTAGGCCAGAGGCTTTGTGTTATAGCTGTTCGCTGCATAACTTTGGGAGGTCTTGCCTCCAGTACTAAAGATAATAAAACATGTACCCACAAAGAAAAGACCACCAGGTAATGAGCCGATGG